TCCTCTCTGTGTTGTTTTTCCTCAGCCCATAAACTCCTATACAGCATGAGTTTAAGTGATAAGTAGATCAGCCTCATATGTGGTCCCACTCATCAAATGGAACTCCACAATAAGTTGAAAGACTAAGCAGGTGCTACTATCAGCATTTTTGTTAAACGTGTACAAGTTGAAGCATGCATATTAATACAGGTAATTTATTTTACCGGGCACGTAAACATTTTTCAGAGTTGTCCAGGAGTAAGTAGATAAAGGCTAAGCAATAAAATGAAATATACATGAATACTATATTTAATGCATATGCTTAACTCTGATCATTGCGTGTTTCCTTAACTACATAATACTATAATAAATCTCCAAAAAAATTTATTACCAATTTGTACTACACTACCACTTCTGCTGGGATGCTGTATCAAGTATCTATTACCTTTTCTGTATAGTACTTCTTGTTTAACTTGACTGTATCTTGCAATGTATATTTTAACCAAAAAGTCAACCTATTTATACATCTATTGATTTTTGATATATTACATTTTTGTAGCCCCTCCATCTGTCCTGCAGTCACTCCCACCACTTCCTATATAGTAGTTTCATTACCCAAGAAATATGGGCTACGCATGACAAAGCCACAAGTTCCACTTATTGTTGAAATATTGTTGACTCTTGTTGAATTTGTAATCCAAAAATAAGTGAGGGCTAAGAAAATATGTACTACAACAGAATAGCAGCACTATGCCCAAGTGACACCAAATAGTATACATAGAAAATTAATAATATTACCAAATAAGTGCGCTAATACTGGAGATAGTAGATCTGAAAATAAGCAAGAAAAAATATAGTGCAGATGGTATATACAGAACCATATATAAATAGGGGTGGGGGGAAAGAACTCACACCCCTGGCTCTGGGTTTTCACAGCGCTATTGGAAAGGGAAAATCCCACAATCTCTATACTGGATACTATCAAGCCAAGGAACGATTCTGTGTGGTATAGAAAGGCAAAAGACCCCCAATTGAACAGTATCTTCAATGTTTAATAATAAAAAAGGTTAAAAACTCTTACTTTAGAAGTGGTGGGCATCAGCTGTATAAGCTACCCACATAAAAGCATATTTACAAAACGTAGAAGGAGGAGGAAGCCCAGACAGGCGGGCAAAACGCGTCACGGAGACGTCATCAGAAGGCGGACCCGGAAGTGGTCATGTGAGAGGGACTTTCGGAACTCAGCTTTGTTCGTGACTGTGGCATTCTATGTTTTGTTTATATGCTTTTATGTGGGTAGCTTATACAGCTGATGCCCACCACTTCTAAAGTAAGAGTTTTTAACCTTTTTTTATTATTAAACTTTGAAGATACTGTTCAATTGGGGGTCTTTTGCCTTTCTATACCACACAGAATCATTCTTTGGCTTGATAGTATTCAGTATACAACCTTCGTCTACAGATTGTTGGATTTTCCCTCTCCAGTATAGCTGTGAAAACCCAGAGCCAGGGGTGTTTAGGCTCTGGTCCATGTGAGTTTTTTCCCCCCACCCCTATTTATATATGGTTCTGTATATACCATCTGCACTATATTTTTTCCTTGCTTATTTTCAGATCTGCTATCTCCAGTATTAGCGCACTTGTTGAATTTATGTTTATATGATATTAGAGATAAATAATGCTCTACTTTATTTCTCCAGGAAAATGCAAGGGAATGCGGTGGAGCTTTTGGCATCTGTTCCCAGCCACTAACAATGCTGCTATCACTTCTAATGATATATTTCTCAAGGTGACCTCCACTGATCTGATCACTTGGCATGCTACATACATGGATAAACTGTGAACTGAGACTGTTGATGCAGTATAGAAGACAAGAAATATAGTCAAAACATCAGCATTTCATGAGCTGTTGAAGAATATAAAAAAATAACTGATACAAGACTATTATCTTCTAACTTCGCAACTCATTCAGCTGTGAATTTTTCATTCAATATTCACACTTCATTAACACTGGACAAAAGACCCTGGCGATCATCATTTTCTGCTTTTTCCCATCAAAATAATTTAAAATGGTGTACTTTTTCAATAAAGTATATTAAAATCATAATTCTGCTGCTATATTTTTACTTCTATATTTGTTTTTGTTTTTTTCCTTCTCTGCATGGTACACTGATGCAGAAATATCAATTAAATCAGAACACACATTAGCTCCAAATAACTTACTTTCGTGTTTATTACTAAAGTGAGAATTGATGGGAAAGTAAAGTGAATTCAAAGAGAATTTCAAATTAAGGACCAAAAGTTAAAACAAATTTGACTTGGAGTATTTACGTAAATTGGGTATTCCGACCTAAATTTTGAAATGCACCTTGAATCAATTTTCACTTTCGTAAATAGCCATGAGTTTGTTATTCATCACTCTTGCATTTATCATGTTGACAAAGAAAACATTATAGTAACAATATCAGAGTTATATGATTTTCCAAAATTTGTAAATAATCATCAAAAATAAGACTTTGATGACAAACCTTTGAGATAAACTTCAAAGGACTCTGTTATGCCTGTCAAGTAGCTGCAGGTTAATAAAGAAGAAGGTGGTAGCCAGCCTGGTTTGTTGTGTGCAACCTTCCCTACAGCTTTGGGCATACCAAGAACACTGTAGAAGACAGACTAGTATTTGTGGATCTATATCATCTCACGACCCCGGACATGATTGATAAGACATCCTAGGTTGACTGAAGATGTAATATTGGAGACTGGAGAAATAACCTATGATAGCACGACAAAAGGATCAAGTCAAGACAATATTATTTAACAAAACATGAAAATAAACCATGTGATCATTTGAGACAAATTCATGAAAACAAAAATCTATTTTAGGTAAGAAATTTAAAATTAAGTGCTGATGAGCTGTATTGTGGGATTATATAAATGAAGGATGAGTTGTCTTGAAATTATTTCATTTGTCACCCAAATAGTCGAGATTAAAACAATATCCGTCTCAGACGAACGGAGTAATTGTTTAGCTGTTGTTTTTTGCTGTAGAATTCACCATGTAGGAAAGTCAGTAAACGTAATACTCAAATTGATAGATTTCCAAGTTGGAACCAAGTCCTTTTGCTCTTCCTTCAATAAACAATGATGTTCTTCAATAAACAGAGCAAAACCTAGAAGCCACTGGATGCAAGAATAAGAGTGCACTAGAACTTTAAACATAGTAAATTACATAGAGAGAGAGATACTTTATGAAAAGTGCTTTCCTGTTAAATCTATGACATATGTCTGTGCTTACATATTTGTAATTAATACAAAGCATTTAACAGATTACTTTTCAATTCTAATTTACTTATATATATTTTTTTATTTGCTTAAGTAGGACTTCTAAGTATTTTGAAATGACAACTTTTGTGTGTGCCTCTTGAAAATACAATGCAAACCAAAACCAAAGTATTTACTATTAAGTTATTTTCCATTGCAATTGTGTTGCTAAAACATTAAGTTGAAACCACCATTTATGTGTATATAACGATATCTTAATAATGTCTATGAAATCACTTTATAGAGATTTTTACTTTAATTAAAACTTTTATATATTTGTTTATTTTTTATTTTTGGGGTATGTTTGGGTGAGTATAAATTAATAATGCTCTAGACATAATACTCTCCAGGTAACTGTTTTCCTCTGTTCTTGAATAAGAGGTCTTGGACTTGACTGATCAAATGCTGAGTATACATGCACATAATCAGAGCTTTTCAATGCTTCTTCATAATCTTTAGTACAATCCATTGGAAGCCAGGAAGGCAGATGCACTCTAGTCCACCACACCTGCTCTGTGGAGCTAACAGTGGTAGTGTCATGACTTACCTTTATTCCATTGTTGATCCGAATATTAAGGGCAGCCCGTGACCTCCAAACTCACATTGCGTCACGTCTCCCAGGCAACCATAGACGGTTGGGAGACGTGCGTGATCATTCCATGCCGCAGGACAGCCCTGTAGGCACGGCTGGAACACGTTATAGTTATTACATTCCATGGCAACCCCTGTGACTGACATACACCAATAGAGTGTTATGGACAGGGACGTATCTTACACGAGGCAAACAAGGAATTTGCCTTGGGCGGCACTTTGCAGGGGCAGCAAAAAAAGCCGCCCCAAACACCCAGGCAGATCCCTTGCTTGCCTTGTGTCCTAGGAGGCTCAAGATTTGGCCAGCTGGCCACTTTTGAGCCCCCCTAGGCTGGCGGCAGGCAGTGAGGGAGTATACTCACCTGAGCTCTTCCTGCTCAGCTCCCTCAGCGCTGCTTAATGAAGCCGGGAGCCGGAATATGATGTCAGACCAGCTCCCAGCATCACTAAGTGGCGTGCGAGGGAGCTGAGCAGGAAAATCAGAGCTCCCTCGCCGCCTACTAAGCCTGTCCGCCCTCTGCCTGCCCGACCGGCAGCCTTACTGGACAGGTAAGTATTCCACTCTAGCTCACCCAGGGTGGATTTAAAATAAAAAAAATGAAAAATAATTTGTGTGTTGGGGGAAATGTCTGTGTGTGTGTTTGTAAGTAAATGTGTGTGTGTGTCTGTGAGTGAATGAGTGTGTGTATCTGTGAGTGTGTCTGTGAGTGAATGTGTGTGTGTGTGTCTATGAGTGTGTGTGTATGTATGTGTCTAAGTGAATGTGTGTGTGTCTGTAAGTGTGTGTGTCTAAGTGAATGTGTGTGTGTGTGTGGGTCAGTGAAAGTTTATGTGTCAGTCAGTGAGTGTGTATGTGTCTGTCAGTGTGTGCGTCTGTCAGTGTGTGTCCAAGTAATAGTGTGCATCTGTCTATCAGTGTGTGAAATCAGTGAGTGTGTGTGTCATTTTGTCAGTGTGTGTCTGTCAATGAGTGTATGCATCTATCAGTGAGTGTGTGCGTCTGTCAGTCAAAGTGCGGCCTTGACTGGAAGGGGTGGGGAAAATTTTAAGTAAGTGGGGGTTGCCCAAGCACCGTCCTGCCTAGGGCAGCACAAATCCTAAATACACCACTGGTTACACCGCTACTCCTCCTTCTGGTCCTATGTCTGTTGCCTCCTCTGATGACTCACATGCTCCAGAACCCTCTGTACCCAAGGGAAAACTATCCTACAAGAAACACAACAGAGATACAAAAGATATGCCGACAAGAAAAGTAGATCTGCACAGTGGGTAATCACATGGGGCAAAAAGTATAGTTGTTCACCAGACAGTTACGATTGTCCTGTCCAAGAAAGAAACTCGGACCAAAGTTCCTGTGTCTATACCCAATAGAGACTGTCCTCTCTCCTGTAACGGTTCGTCTACGATTGCCATCCTCTCTGCACATCCATCCTGTATTTCACCTTATTGAAACCTTATATGTCTGACAGATTTACCATTTAAAAACCTCCTCCTCCAGGTCCTGCCCAGGTCAATGGTGAAAAAGAATACTAAAAAAGGATATGGTCCAAAAGAACGGTTTTGGGAGCCATCCTCCAATGTCCATGCTCCCAGCTTGGTTCAAACATACCATCTCTGTCATCCTGGAAATCCAGCTACAATACAACTCTGGAGAATGTGTCTTAGGAGGGGGGTATTTACACAATATACCTCTATTCCATCACTGCTCCAGGCCGCCCGAACACGTGCATTCGCGAATACTAGGGGCGGGCCTCGACCTCTGAGCTCAGATCGCGTCATGTCTCCCATGCACCAATAGACGTTCCATGCTGCAAGACAGCCCTGTAGGTGTAGCTGGAACACGTTATAGTTATATTACAAGTAATTATAAGTACCAATAGGGTGTTATGGAGGCATGCCAGAAAAGGTGTGCCTTACATTTGGCCACATGCTTCTGAACCCGCTGTACCAATGCTAGAACGAGGAGAATGTTCTTTGTACCAAGGATTTGTGATGGATTTATTTTTGCTTACTATCAATAACTGTATTTTGGGTTACTTATTCCTAACTTGACTGGTAGGAGAAAACCTACCTTGTTGTCACTAAGTCCCAGTTACAAAAGTGAAGATTTTTATTGAAGTTATAACTTTTATAAACTGTAAAAATAGTGCTAGACACCAGACATGTGAAGCACTCCAGCAAGATAAAGAGCTTATTCAATCTGCAATGTTCCTTTAACCCCTTCAGGACCGATGACTGTTCCGGACCATCATCAGAAACATCCCTTTTGGACCTATGACGGTCCTGAACTGTCATAACAGAAAACGAGCAGCGAGAGTGATCGGAGATCGCTTCTGCTGATATCCCATTGTTACTATCTCCCAGGCATGCAAGGCTGATAGTAACAGCCAATTATGTTATTTGAGCGACACGCAATCGCTCACAATTGGCTGCTGTCAAAGTGGGTATTACAAACACTCACTTTGACAGTGATCTCTGCCCAGGGGAGGGCTGGCAGCCTTAGGCCTGGGGGGCAAAACCAGTCAAGTGGCCCATTGCACCACCAAATCAGTGCAATGGTGCCCACCTTTTCCTGGTTTTATAACAGATATTGATGTTATGCTAATCAGTAGCTCTTTGCCATACCCACTCCTTCACGGCTCTGACTTTCAATGTTGTCAGAGCGCAGGCTGAGAATCTCTGAGCCTGTGCTCTGACTCACTAACTGAGCGCCGGAACCACGAGGGAGAGGCTATAATCTGACTGCACCTACTGCTGGTGCGCACCAGTGGACCACCAGCAAATCGTTTAAATTGAATAGGCTGGTGTCTCTGTTGTGATGGCACCCTGCGTGACCGCACAGCGTGCACACCCCAACAGCTGGCCCTGCTGACACACACTGATGTTACTACTTAGAAATCCCTCAATATTAATACAGACATCAGAGTAAACACCAATAAACTGTGGATACAGAGCTGATCCCACCCAAATTTATACAGATTTGCTTACTGGATTTGTTGTAAGATTAAATCATGCCTCCTCCTCTCTCTCTCCCATGCGCTGCTCTGTAAGCTGGGAGGAAGTGAAGAGTGATCACAATCTCCCAGCACAGTGGCACCTGTGGCTGCATGGGGAACAGCTGTATTTGCCGCCCCCCATGTGACATCACAATGCCCCACCTATATGAGCTGCCATACGAACTAACGCCAGTGCTGCCCACAGTGTGTGTTTACATTAAAAGGCCTGCAGGGGCCGGCTATAGACACCAGAACCACTTCATTAAGCTCCAGTCGTTCTGGGGACTATAGTGTCCCTTTAATGTAATGTAAATTATAGATTAGTGTCACTAATAATATACTAGATTGCCTACTTACAACCAAATGAGGATGATGATGGGCTGCAGTTTGGCTCCACTGGTCTGGTGTAGAACAGGATCTCTGGAGGCTGTTTGCAACTGTGGTCACAAAATTCAATGTCCTGGGAGAATTGGAAGCAGCGCCATTTTTTGGGGGGCCCCTTACACAGCTCAAGGTCTGGGCCCCAGGGCCTGACGGTGAGTATGCCCACAAGGGCCACTCATAAGTCCACTTATATGTTCCACCCACCCATGAGTTCACTCATATGTGTGCTTATGGTATGTAGTGTATAGGGATACCAGTTTGTGCAGGTGATGCAGTGTGTTTGTGTGTAGTGGAAGCAGTGTGTATTTGTGTATAAGGTGTCACGATTCGGGGAACCCAACACGCTGGCACACACACACACACACAAAAGGTGCCGTACCGGACCTTAGAGTGGCCGGGCTAAGCACACACAGAATAGTCAGGAGACAAGCCGAGTAAAGGGGAACCAGAAGACAGAATAACGTGAAACGAGCCGAGGTCAAAGGGTAGGAGAAAGTCACAGAGTCAGATAAACAAGCCAGAGAGTACGTAACCAGAAGCACAAGGTAAGTAGCAATACTAGCAAGCAAAGACCACAACAGGGCAAGGAGGAACAGGAAAGGTAAGTATTTAAACCATCAGGTTAATTCTGATTGGATGATTTCCAATCAGAATTAACAATCACACGTGGGAGATATTTAGACCTCCCACTGTGATTGTGGCACTTTGCGTTTAACGCCGGGTCAGGTGACTGACCCCGGCGTGTATAAACCTGGGCGGTCTCCCAGCGTGCAGCGTCATGCATGCTGCCGCTGGGGGACGTGGAGGGAACGGCGGGCGGCATCCGAGGCTGGAAGGATGCCGCTCGCCGTACCCACGAGGCGGAGGGGACCGCGGACGGCTGGAGGGTGAGTACTGCGAGCGGAGTGCAGCCTCCCCTCGCAGCCGTCCGCGGGAGCCTGACATTACCCCCCCCTCGAAGACCACCCAGGGGGTGGGAAGCGGAAGGCTTCAAAGGAAAGCGGGCATGAAAGGAGCGGACCAAAGAGGGAGCGTGCACATCGGAGCTTGAAACCCAGGACTGCTCCTCAGGGCCGTACCCCTTCCAGTCCACCAAATATTGCAGCCGACCCCTAGAAACACGAGAGTCGAGAAGGGCAGCCACCTCGTACACGTCGTCAGAGACAGCTCGAGGGGAAACGGGCCGCCCGAGGGGACGAGAGAACCGGTTACACAGCAAGGGTTTCAAAAGCGAGACGTGAAACGTGTTCGGGACACGCATGGAAGGAGGCAAATCAAGGGAGTAGGAAACGGGATTAACCCTACGTAACACCTTGAAGGGACCAAGAAACCTGGGGGCAAATTTCATCGAGGGAACCTTGAGACGGAGGTTCCGGGAGGACAACCATACCCTATCACCCGGAACATAGGAAGGGGCCGCAACCCTACGGCGATCAGCGAACTTTTTCTGAGCAGCAGCTGAACGAGACAGCGCAACATGGACTTGATCCCACGTCTTCCGCAAAGAGGCGAGGTGCTGGTCCAAGGCGGGCATTCCCTTGTCGGAGAACGCTCCGGGAAGGACAGAAGGACGAAACCCATAAGCAACCTCAAAAGGACTTAAGCCAGTAGACGAATGAGTCACCGTATTCCTGGCAAATTCAGCCCACGGAAGAAGGCGAGACCAGTCATCCTGGTGCGCATTAGTGAAGCAGCGCAAATACAATTCCACAGACTGATTAGCACGTTCGGCCGCACCATTAGATTGCGGGTGATAGGAGGAAGAAAACGACAAGGATACCCCCATCTCAGCACAAAAGCCCCTCCAGAACCGAGAGACAAATTGAGGGCCCCTGTCAGATACGATATCCTGGGGTACCCCATGCAATCGGAACACTTCTTTGGCAAATACCTGAGCTAACTGAACCGCAGAAGGCAGTTTCTTAAGCGGAATGAAGTGCGCCATTTTAGAGAACCTATCCGTCACAGTCAGTATCACCGTCTGACCATCAGAAAGAGGCAGGTCTACAATGAAATCCATGGATAAGTGGGTCCATGGTTTCTTGGGTATAGATAGAGGCATCAGAAAACCCTGGGGTCTCACATTAAGGGACTTACATTGCGTGCAGACCTGACAAGCCTGAACAAAATCCACTACGTCTCGCTTGAGTGAAGGCCACCAGAACTGTTGAAGGAGGCCTTTGTAGGTTTTGGTAACCCCCGGATGACCAGCAGTTTTGGCTGTGTGAAATAAAGTTAACAACTTTTTTCTGTCATTAGCTTCAACGTATAGTTTACCAACTGGCGTCTCAGGGGGTGCCTGGGTTTGGTATGTCTTAATACTGTTAAGGAAAGGTGAAGAAACAACCAAACGGGTGGCAGCTATTATCTGAGACTCAGGTACAATAGGTTCAGGAGTCGGGTTAACAAATTCTACTGGTTCATGCTGCCGAGAGATGGCGTCAGCTTTGGCATTACGGCAACCAGGTCTATAGGTGATAACATATTGGAAGCGTGAGAGAAATAGAGACCATCTAGCCTGCCGGGCAGATAACCTTCTAGCATCAGCAATATAGGATAGATTCTTATGATCTGTTATAACCATAATTTTGTATCTAGAACCCTCTAATAAGTACCTCCATTCCTTGAAAGCTAACACAATAGCTAATAGTTCCCTATTCCCAACATCATAATTCTTCTCTGAATCAGACAACCTTTTAGAAAAATAACAACAGGGATGGAGGGGTTTGTCATAAGACAACCTCTGTGACAGTACGGCTCCCACACCTGACTCCGAGGCGTCTACTTCCATAACAAAGGGAAGAGAAGGATCAGGGTGGTGCAGCACTGGAGCAGAGGCAAATGCCTTCTTGAGGGTTTCGAAGGCCTTAAGGGCTTCAGGAGTCCAAACCCTAGGATGTAGACCTTTTTTTGTCAACTTCGTTATGGGAGATATGAGTGGTGAAAAGTTTTTATAAATTTCCTATAATAGTTGGCAAATCCTATAAAACGCTGGATAGCCTTTAGTCCTTGGGGAAGTGGCCAGGACATTATAGCTTCCAATTTAGCAGGATCCATACTGAAACCCTGTTCAGTAATGATATATCCTAGGAATTGCACAGACGTCTGATCGAATAAACATTTTTCTAACTTACAGTAGAGTCCATTCTGCAATAGTCTTTTGAGCACCATCCTAACATGGTTATGGTGTGACTTCAAATCAGGAGAATACACAAGTATGTCGTCAAGGTACACTACAGCACAGACATGCAATAGATCCCTAAGGACATCATTTATGAGGTCCTGAAACACGGCAGGAGCATTACACAATCCAAAAGGCATGACCAGATATTCGTAATGCCCACTGCGTGTGTTGAACGCTGTCTTCCACTCGTCATTCTCCTTTATACGGACAAGGTTATAAGCCCCCCTGAGGTCTAATTTGGTGAAAAATTTAGAACCTTTAACACGATCAAACAACTCAGTGATGAGGGGGATAGGGTAGGCGTTTTTAACCGTTATATTGTTCAGACCCCTGTAGTCTATACATGGCCTCAAATCACCCTCCTTCTTAGCCACAAAAAAGAAACCAGCACCAGCAGGAGAGGAGGACCTTCTAATAAAACCTTTTCTTAGGGATTCCTGTATGTACTCCTCCATGATTTGGTTTTCTTTTTCAGAAAGAGGGTAGACCTTTCCCCTAGGAGGCATAGTGCCCGGTAAGAGGTTTATGGCACAATCATACTCACGGTGTGGAGGTAGCTTATCTGCCTCCCTCTTTTCAAAAACCAAGGCAAGGTCTGCATAAACAGAGGGCACAGAAACCGAGAGTGGTTTAGCCGTGGGTACGTTAAGTAAACAGACAGGACGTACATGAGCCACACAGTCTCGCTGACAAGATTCCCCCCAGGAGAGTATGTCTAAACAACCCCAATCAAGAACAGGGTTGTGTTTAACTAACCAGGAAAACCCAGAACGATGGAGGCTGTAGGGGAGTCAATTATTTGGAAGGTTAACTTCTCCTTGTGCAAAACACCCACAGACATAACTATTTCCTGGGTTTCATGGGTCACCAGAGGTTTCTCCAGTGGTCTACCATCTATGGCCTCAACGGCCAAGGGTGTCTCCTTTCGGATCAAATTCAGGGCTGCGGTTTTGGCAAAGGTCTCATCCATAAGGTTGTCTGCCGCACCCGAATCGATCAGGGCTTTGGTTGTTATAGTGGTTTTATTGACCAAGAGAGAAACCGTAATAAACGGTCTAGAGATGGACATATGAGGGGACAAAGTCATAACACCCGAGGCCGACCCCTCTCTAGGCCTTAGGTGCTGCAGTTTCCCTGTACTTTAGGGCAGGCTTTACAGTGATGCCCCCTCTTCCCACAATAAAGGCATAACCCCTCCCTTCTACGGTACGCTCTTTCGGCCTCAGTTAACCCCGTAGCACCCAACTGCATGGGTTCAGGGGATGGCTGCACAGGAGCGGGTAACGCTAGCAGGGAAGTACTGGGTAGAGCAGGTAACACCCGTGTATCCAACCGTCTTTGGCTACGCCTCTCTCTAATACGGTTATCTATAAGAATCACATAGTCTATAACATCATCTAGAAGAGCAGGTAATTCCCTGGATGCTATTTCATCCAGTATATAAGCGGCCAGACCCTCCTGAAAGGCTGTTACGAGGGCGTCATTATTCCAAACCACTTCAGCTGCTAGAGTACGAAATTCGATAGTGTAATCTGCTACAGACCTGTTACCCTGTCGGACCCTAAGCAGAGCCTTGCCAGCAGAAGCAACCCTACCGGGTTGATCAAACGTGCGTCTGAAAGCTGTCAGAAAATCAGCAAAGGACATAGGAGACGCATTTTCCCAAATGGGGTTGGCCCATGCTAAAGCTCTCCCGGACAAGTGGTTTATCAAAAAGGCAATTTTAGATCTGTCAGTGGGATAGGAGCGTGGATTCATCACCAAATGGATGTCGATTTGGTTGAGGAAACCACGACACAATTCTGGGTCACCACTGTAGCGCTGTGGCGGCGTCATGTGAACTACATGAGCGGGAACAGGTACTGGAGTGGGAATGGGTTCGGGCACAGCAGCAGCAGCCTCCTGAGCGGCCGGTTGCAAGTGTGCAGTACGAGCCAGAATGGTTTGTAAAGCTTGAGCAAACTGATCCATACGGTGGTCTAAGCCATCCATTCTAGCCTCTTGATTAACTAGGAGCTGTGGTATGTCAGCAGGTTCCATTATGGCCCTGTTGTAATGTCACGATTCGGGGAACCCAACACGCTGGCACACACACACACAAAAGGTGCCGTACCGGACCTTAGAGTGGCCTGGCTAAGCACACACAGAATAGTCAGAAAACAAGCCGAGTAAGGGGAACCAGAAGACAGAATAACGTGAAACGAGCCGAGGTCAAAGGGTAGGAGAAAGTCACAGAGTCAGTTAAACAAGCCAGAGAGTACGTAACCAGAAGCAAAAGGTAAGTAGCAAAACTAGCAAGCAAAGACCACAACAGGGCAGGGAGGAACAGGAAAGGTAAGTATTTAAACCATCAGGTTAATTCTGATTGGATAATTTCCAATCAGAATTAACAATCACACGTGGGAGATATTTAGACCTCCCACTGTGATTGTGGCACTTTGCCTTTAACGCCGGGTCAGGTGACTGACCCCGGCGTGTATAACCCTGGGCGGTCTCCCAGCGTGCAGCGTCATGCATGCTGCAGCTGGGGGACGTGGAGGGAACGGCGGGCGGCATCCGAGGCTGGAAGGATGCCGCTCGCCGTACCCACGAGGCGGAGGGGACCGCGGACGGCTGGAGGGTGAGTACTGCGAGCGGAGTGCAGCCTCCCCTCGCAGCCGCCCGCGGGAGCCTGACATAAGGGATGTATTGTGTGTTTCTGGTTGTGTGTAAGGGATGCATTGTGTGAATCTGTGTTTGTATGCATAAGGGATGCAAGGTGTGTGTCTGTAAGTGTGTGCATTGAGTGTGTGTTAGTGATGCATTGTGTTTCTGTGTGTATGTAAGAAAAGCAGTGTGTGTGTAAGTGTTTGCATTATGTGTTTCTGTGTATGTGTGCAAAGGATGCATTGTCTTTGTATGTAAGTGTTGCATTGTGTGTGTGTAATGGATGCATTGTGTGTTTCTCTGTGTGTAAGGGAAGCATGTTGTGTTTCTGTGTGTGTAGGGATGCATTGTGTGTTTCTGTGTATGTATAGGGATGCATTGTGTGTGTGTGTGAGCGTAGTGTCCTCTCCTTCCTGTGTCCTCCTCACCTCCCCCTCCCTGTGTTCTCCTCACCACCCACCCTCCCTGTGTTCTTCTCAGTCCCCCCCTTCTCCTCATCTCCCCTTCTCCTCACTCTTACTCTCCCCCTCCTCCTTGTGTTCTTCTTACTCCACCCTTGTTCTTCTTACCCCCCGTTTTTCATACCCCCCTTCTTCTTCTTACTCCCCCTCCTCCACCTTCTGTTACTCCCCCCTCCTTCACTTACTCCCTCCCTTCACTTACTCCCCCCTCTTTCACTTTCTCCCCCCTCCTTCATTTACACCCCCCATCTTCACTTACTCCCCCCATCACTTACACCCCCCATCTTCACTTACTCCCCCCATCTTCACTTACTCCCCCCATCCTTCATTTACACCCCCATCCTTCATTTACACCGCACTCCTTCATTAACACCCCCCATCTTCGCCTCCCCATCTTCACTTGCCCCCTTCCCCTCCCTTACTCCCCCTCCCCTCCCCTTACTCCCCCCCTCCTTCCTTACTCCCTCCCCCTCTCCTTCGCCTCTCTCCCCACTCTTTCCTTGCTTCTCCCCCTCCTCCCTTACTCCCCCCTCCTTACTCCCCCTTCACTTACTCTCCTCCCCTCTCCCTCCCCTCTCCTTCACTTACTTCCCCCCTTCACTTACTTCTCCAACCCGACAAGCCTACGCATGGGTGGTATCACTGTATTCAAGAGATGTTGCTGAATACATATTGCGGTGTTGTTCGGCAGTGACACATAACAGGAACTGTGAATTTGTACCTGAATTGCAATGTTTGTGAAAAAAATCAAACAAAGAAATTACCTATGTGAAGTTTGGCAAAGATTGGTGGTAAAATGGCTGCATGGAAAGTGTCAAAATATCCTTAGATGAATACCCGGTGTTGTCTACTTTAAAAACATATGTACACGTGGGGTGTGATTCAGAGATTTATGACAGATAACAGTGTTAAAATGTCACTATTTATACATTTTGCAAATATATATTTTGAAAACAGGAATGTCCTATTTGTACTTATAGCCCTATAACTTGCAAACAAAAGCAAAAAAGCCTGTAAACGCTGAGTGTTTTTAAACTCAGGACAACATTTTTAATCTATTTAGCATTTTTTTTCATTAGCTTTTGTAGATGAGTAAAATATTTTTTAAGTAAAAGTAAAAAAAAAGTTTTTATTTTGAATTTTTCACCATTTTTTTAATTTATTTTTTAATTTAAATTATATGACATGATACATAATGGTATGTAAAGAAAGCCCTTCTTTTCCTGAAAAAAACAATATAGAATTTGTATAGGAACAGTAAATGAGAGAGAGGAAAACTGCAGCTAAACACAAACACCACAAAAGTGTTAAAACAGCCCTGGTCCTTAACGTACAACATGGCCAAAACAGTCTGGTCCTGAATGGGTTAAGTTATTATTGGGTGTTTTGTATGTTAAAATGCTACATCATGGGGGGTGGAGCCTGAACTGCAAGCTGAATGGTTACATGTTGGAGGGGCTCCTGCCACACGTTTAATATGGCGATACGAAACAAACCAAAGCCTGAATACATGCCGGGGTATGCTACCCAAGATAGGGGCATCCTGGCGAACCGCATGAGTACTTTTCACGACTGTGAATTCAAGGTGGCACACTGCGGCCCGCGTGGATCGGGTGGGGAAGAAACGTCTGCTCTCCCTGCCCTTACAGAGCCACTGACCGTCTCCCCCCCTTCTTAGGAACAGTGGGGGTGATCCCGGTCCACCCCTCTGAGGCAGTCTGCTAGAACAGCATCCAGATACAGAGTCCTCCATAATGGCGTATACCATGTGCACATCAGACCGCTGCGAAGAGTAGCATGACACTCTGACCAGGTTTAATGCCATACTTGATGCCTTCTGGTCGAAGCTAGAAAGCCGAGAGTAGCAGACCACAGCACAGGCATACTTACATAGCAAGAAAACCACACGTTCCTGCCGCAGACAAGGAGTTCCTCAGCCAAAGGGAACTCCAAGATTGTGCCGCAGAAAGAGACCTCTCCTGTCTGCACGCAAACAGACACAACGAAACCAGACAACAGAGCCATGTCGTAGAGAGCTGCAAACTCTCCACATACCCAGCCTCAAGCCAAGCCTCGCCATACAGCCGCAGAAAAAATGTTACTCTAAATGTTACCTCTAGTTTAAAGCTACAGTCTTTTGTCAATCTGCATGACCTTTGTTATTGTAGTTACTCAAATACAGTCTTAAGATGAATAAACATGTTTTCATTACAAAAAATTAGTGCAACTCATCTTGACCTTATAGGTTTAAATACTGCCATTATTTTTTTTACTCTCTTTCCCTCTTTATCCCTTGACATAGAATAAAAAACTATTGTAAAATAAAACTGTATTGTTATGTCTTGTGATTATATGTAAACACTATATTTTTGTATTATAAGGATAAAATGTAATAAAGAATATTTAAAAAAAAAAAAAAATACTGGCATTATAAATCTTGCCACATGTCATTATAAAAGCTTGTTCTTATCACTGCACTCTTAAAATAAAGAATTAAAAAAAAAATGCTTCATCATATTATGTATTTTTACCTTTCTATTCATTTTGACTTTTTGTACCGATGAGAGGTGCTAAAAATAATACAATATAAGCATGGAAGAGTCTTCCAGCATTATTAAATTTAAACCAGAATTTGGCAAAAATTGACAAACTGCAGGCCAAAATAGTTAGGCCATTCTCCAGTTCAACAGGTTATCCTAAACTATGCAAATTCTTTGCAATTTCCAATTTAACCATGTTATGCAATATGACTTAATAATGCTGTCTAATGTATGGTGTAACCCAGTGGTAGACAACCTGCGGCACTCCAGATCTTGTGGACTACGTCGCTCATAATTATCTTAGAGCCATAATGTTGCAAAGCATCAGGGGAGATGTGGTCCACAAACCTAGAGTGCCAAAGGCTGCCTACCCCAGTCTAACTTCTTGCCACAGATGGGTTAAAATACTTTGTGTTAATAAGATAACTATACGTCCACAT